AAGGGTTGTGAGACACGGTAGTCTAGTGGTAGGACGCGGGCTCGTGACTGAAGGGTTGTGAGACACGGTAGTCTAGTGGTAGGACCCGGGCTCGTGACTGAAGGGTTGTGAGACATGGTAGTCTAGTGGTTAGATGCAGGCTTGTGACCGAAGGGTTGTGAGACACGGTAGTCTAGTGGTAGGACGTGGGCTCGTGACTGAAGGGTTGTGAGACATGGTAGTCTAGTGGTAGGACGCAGGCTCATGACCGAAGGATTGTGAGACACGGTAGTTTAGTGGTAGGACGCTCATGACCGAAGGGTTGCGGGTTCAAGGCATGGCACTGTGTTGTATCTTTGAGCAAGATACTTCACTCAGCTTGTTCCAGTCTACTCGGCTGAAAATGAGTATGTGGTTGGGCAGTGCTAGAATTGTAGAATGCTAGCTTTGAGCACCGAAATGGCAGCACCGGCTGTGTGCTCCCTAGGTAGTTGAGAAAGATATTGGCTGCTTGCAAAGTCCCTATAACCACGGATAATAATTTTTGAACCACTTTGAGACACCCTACAAACTAGGTTGTGATAAAGCGGTATATAAGAACTTCGAATTATTATTATTATACTTGAGTGTATTAAGAAGCTGCAAGTCTACTTACAAGAAGTCGGTGATTTTATTGGCAGGTTTATTGCAAATTTATCAGTTGTTTAAAGGAATGATTTTTTACTTTTTTTATTGGTGAGTATTTTCAGATTCTGACAAAAACATAAACTTGATTTATGTTTTATAACCTTTATCCATTTACTAATGGTCATATAAAGGAGTATTTACTGAATAGAATTACTTTGATACAAAGATATAACAGTCTTGATATCGATAGAGGGGCAGACCCAGTAATATGAAAAGAAAGAGGAGAGGGTTCAAAATGTTTGTGTATACTGCTTAGCATTGTCTCTAAATGGAAAAAAAGGTTTAATTAAAACAAAATTTAGCATGATTGAAAATGCAAAGCCCTTCTTAAGGGGTCCAGGAGCATGGTCTCTATAATCAACCATATAAAAATTACGAACCATTCTCTCAATTGAAAATGCAAAGCCC